GCTCCTGAATGGCACAGTCCTGCCTGGCACTCACACCTTTTGCCAGCGCTGGCCCCGCTCGCATATGCTGCAGGCACTGGAACTGTAGCTTGCACCCACTGCCAGCACCGGAGCTGCCACTCGCACTCACTGCCGGTGCTGGCCCTGCTTGCACCCGCAGCTAGCTCCAGAGCCGCTGCTCGCACCCACCGCTCGCACCCGCTGCCAGCACCCAGTGCCGGTCCCAATTGCTCGGCACTGTCAGTGGGTGTGAGCAGCGGCTGCTGGCCCGGATTGCCCTTCAGGGCTTCTCCACCTCCCCCTGTTCCTGAGGGGCGATCGGGGCAGCAGCTGCTGCTCACACCCACTGACAGTGCCAAGCAATTGGGACTGGCACTGGGTGCTGGCAGTGGGTGCAGGCGGCGGCTCCAGCACTGGCTGTGGGTGTGAGCAGGGCTGGCACTGGCAGGGGGTGCAAGTGGGGCTGGTGCCATCAGTGCATGGGAGCGGCAGCAGTGGGAGCGGGGCTGCCAGCAGAGAGGGAACTGGGGGCCACAACAGGAGGGGCCGGGCTGGGGCACAGAGGATGGGTCAAGACCCATCCCTGTGCCCACTGCAGCCTCGTGGCCCACAGTTCCTTTTAAGGTACACGAATTCATGCACCTGGGCCCCTAGTTCTTTATAAAGGTCAGAAAAGCATTTGCTGATATAGGTAGATGCCTTAGACCTACCCCAGGGAAAGGCACTGTCCCAGAGAGACTTAAAAATCCTCTTCTTTCATAAACTTCTCCCCAGGTTGCTCCATTTTTCAAGGATGGCCCCAATTTTACACAACTCTCTGTAAAAATAAGGAATTTCAAAATATTTTTAACATTTCCAAGGAGACCAGATTCTCTGGCAGATCTCCTGTTCATAGCTACACTTCTTATGGGAGTCTCAGGGTCTACATTGACAGAATCAAACATGGGACTGGCAGGACCAGCCAGCTCCATACATGCCCATCTGTGATTATTTTGCGTGTCTGTTTCTCACTGACGAAGCACTGTCATTCTTCTCTGAATTCAAACCTTTCCATCATCAGAACCCATTCGTGAAGGAAGGCAGAAGTGTAGCCATGGGCCATTTCTGTGGGAGCATGTGCCACTTGTCTTCTTCCAGGAGTGGCAGCTCCTCCTGCCAGCACTGATGGCTGCTACAGGAGGCTTACTTCTCTAACTCTCTCTTGACCATCCCAAAGAAGGAATTTATTTCCATTTACCAGTTTGAATTCTTGGCACCTTGATTAGAACAGAAAGGGCTAGTGTCTTGGCGAGAAGGCTTTTTACCATTGCTCTTATGCCTATAACTAGTGACCCAGTGCACGATTCGTGCACATTGAAAGGAAATTAATTAGAAGGTGGCCAGCGGGGCAGGACTGGGCAAGATGGGCTGGACACACCCTGGAGCCAACCTCCCGCGGTCCTTCCCCGGCATCTGCGGAGTGAGCAGGGTCCCTCCAGCAGGTGGGGTCCCTTTGCCTAGCCTGTGGGGATCGGGTCAAAACCGGCTCTCCGACATCCCCTGAGAGGTCCCGGAGTGCAAGAGGGCACTCTGATAAGTTGCTGTCGCACAGGGTGTGGAACACAAATGCAAGTGTGCAGTAAACCAGATTCAGGGCCGACAGTGCCCCAGCAACAACATAACCCACTGCCGAAGGTGCAATTGCATGGCCCCCGTGAGGAATTGGGCTCCTTCCTCTCTGGTTTCAGGGTGCGTTACCTGAGAACCACTGCTGCCAAGTCACTGCAGCTCGGCAGCTCCTGTATTGAGCATCTGCCCCCTGGTGGTCAGTGTGCATCATAGTGACCAGTTGGACTGTCAGAGACTTCGCATATTTGCCTTTTATATATATATATATCTTAAATTAATAGCATAAAAAAAGCTCGTTGCTAATTAAAGTCAACTTCTAAAGTTCAAGGAAATTTCCTCGTTTGTGCTTAACACTAACTTTTCGTTATTTTTATACTTGAGATGATAGTAATTAATTCCACGGCCTAGAACCTAAGAAAAGAAAAAGAGTGTGAAGTTGTTTTTTTAATTTACTATGTTTGCTTATTGTGCTTTTTAATAAAGAATGTTTAGCCCTCGCCAGTTTGGCTCAGGGGATAGAGCGTTGGCCTGCGGACCGAAGGGTCGCGGGCTCAATTCTGGCCAAGGGGACATGCCTGGGGTGTAGGCTCGATCCCCAGTAAGGGTGTGCAGGAGGCAGCCAATCAATGATTGTCTCTCATCATTGATGTTTCTCTCTCTCCCTTCTCTTCCTCTCTGAAATCAATAAAAATATATAACAAATAAAAATAAATAAAAAGAATCTTTATTGTTGAAAGTATTACATATGTCCTCCTTTCCCCATTGACCCCTTCTAGCCCACCCACTTCCCCCACCCTAGGCCTTCACCACCTTATTGTCTGTGTCCATGGGCGATACATATATGCATACAAGTTCTTTGATTGATCTCTTCCCATCCACTCACCCACTCCACCTTCCCTCTGAGATTCCACAATCTGTCCCATGCTTCCATGTCTCTGGATCTATTTTGTTCATCAGTTTATTTTGTCTGTTAGACTCCACATATGAGTGAGACAATATGATACTTGTCTTTCTCTGACTGGCTTATTTCACTTAGCATTTTTTTTTATAAAAAATAGGTGTTGACTTTTATCCAATGCTTTTTCTGCATCTATTGATATAATCATGTGATTTTTGTCTTTTAATTTGTTTGTGATGTATCACATTTATTGATTTGCAAATATTGTACTAGCCTTGCATCCCTGGAATAAATCCCACTTGGTCATGGTGTATGATCTTTTTAATATATTGCTGGATCCAATTTGATAATATTTTGTTGAGGATTTTAGTATCTATAGTCATCAGGGATATTGACCCGTAATTCTCTTTCTTTGTAGTGTCTTTATCTGGTTTTGGTACTAGGATAATGCTGGCCTCATAAAAAGAGCTTGCAAGTGTCTCCTTCTCTTGGATTTTTTGGAATAGTTTTAAGAGGATAGATGTTGATTCTTCTTTGAATGTTTGGTAAAACTCCCCTGTGAAGCTGTCTAGACCAGGGCTTTTGTTAGCTGGGAGTTGTTTTTTATTACTGCTTCAATTTCATTAGTTGTTATTGGCCTCTTCAGGTTTTCTGATTCTTCCTGATTGAGTTTTGGAAGATTGTATTTTTCTAGGAATTTGTCCATTTCATCCACATTGTCCAGCTTGTTGGCATATAGCTGTTCATAGTATTTTCTTACAATCCTTTGTATTTCTGTGGTGTCGGTTTTACTTCACCACTTTCATTTCTGATTGTATTAGGGTGCTTATATGTTTACCAGGGTTAGATCCCTTGTTCGATCAATCCCTTTAGTGTTATGTAGTGACCTTTATTGTCTCTTGTGATGGCCTTCATTCTGAAGTCTATTTTGTCAGATATGAGTATTGCTGCCCCAGCCTTTTTCGTTTCAATTTGCATGAAATTTTTTCCCATCCCTTCACTCTTATCCTGTGTGAGTCTTTTGTTCTGAGATAGGTCTCTTATAGACAGTATATATTTGGGTCATGTTTTCATATCCATTCAGCTACCCTATGTCTTACACTTAAGGTTATTATTGATAGGTAGTTATTATTGCCATTTTAATTCTTTATGCCTGTGTTTCTCTCTATATATATTTATTATTATTATTACAGAAGTCCATTTAGATTTTCTTGTAGTACTGGTTTGGTGGTGATGAACTTCTTTAGCTTTTTTTTAAAATCTGGGAAGCTCTTTATTTCACCATCTATTTTGAATGATAGCCTTGCTGGATATAGTAATCTTGGTTTCAGATCTTTGTTTTTCATTACCTTGAATACTTCAGGCCATTCCTTTCTGGCCTGTAGAGTTTCTGATGAGAAATCAGCTGACAGCCTTATGGGAGCTTCTTTGTAGGTAATAAATTGCTTTTCTCTTGCTGCCTTTAGGATTCTTTGTCTTTAATTTTTGGCATTTTAATTATGATGTGTCTGGGTGTGGACCTGTTTAGGTTCTTCTTGCTTGGGACTCTCTGTGCTTCCTGAATTTGTGTGACTTTTTCCTTCACCAGGTTAGGAAAGCTTTCTGCCATTATTTCTTCAAACAGGTTCTCTATCTCTTGTTCACTTTCTTCACCTTCTGGTATTCCTATAATGCAAATATTGTTACACTTCATGTTATTCCACAGCTCTCTTAAGCTGTCCTCCTGTTTTTTAATTTTTTTTTCTTTTTGGTTCTCTGATTGAGTGGGTTTTTTTTCTACCCTGTCTTCTAATTCACTGATCCAATCTTCAGCTTCCCCTAATCTGCTCTGTATTCCTTCCAATGTGTTCTTTATTAATACTATGTCATTCCTTATTTCATAGTTACTATGTATTTTCTCATGCATCCTTTCCATCATTATTCTGAACTCTATCTGATAAATTTATTATCTCCATTTCATTTATCTCTTCTGGAGAATTCTCTTATTCTTCCATTTGGAGCTTTTTTTTATTTCCCCATTTTAATGGGCTGCCTGTTTGGGTTTGTGTCTACGTATTAAGTAGCTCTCAATCTCTAATGCAGGACAATGTCAAATGCTGTTTGAAACCCTGTTTGGAACTATTAGTGATTCACAGCTTGTGGCTTCCTCTGCTGGGGCTGGGTGCATTTGGAAAGGACCAAGATGTACACCAAGGTCTGCTTTTCCTAGCCTTGAGACCAAAAGGAGATGAGGCAAAGACTCAAAGCCTCCAAAGACCCACCTCTGCTTGCAGTCTGGTTATTATTCAGTTTGGATTAGCTTCAGGCTTTTGACCACAGGGTGGGGCAAGAGGTTTTCCAATAAGGTGGGACAATTGCTTCTGCCTGCAGGCTGATTGTTATTCTCAGTTTCTTAATGGGCCTCAGAAACTCCACAAGGTGGGGCAAGCGGTTTTCCAATAGGGTGGCGCAATTGATTCCCTCCCCAGGCAAAAGCTGCCTGGATGGTAAAGGTATGCCAGAGAAAGGTGTCCTCTTCAGTATGAGGGAATGGCTCAGCACAGGAAACCGGAGTGTCTGCCTTCTGAGGTCTAACCCTGGAGCCCCCAACCCTGTCTTCTGTTCACACAATTCCAGTCTCACCCTGCTAGAGCCCAACGTGAGTGGTTGGTTGCACATGAAATTTTGTGCATTGGCCCTTTAAGGAGGTACCTGTATTTCCAGCCATCTCTCCCAGGCAGACAGCAACCTTGCTGCTTTTCACAACCAGATGTTTTGTGGGCACCTTTCTCAGTTCCGGTGCACTGGGCTGGGAGGCCAAGCTTGGAGTTTATACCTCAGAATTCTCAGTGGAAATGCCATAGAGCTGAGATATCTCTCTGGATCTTCAGCTGCTGTCTTTGGGATCCCAGCCAACCCTTGTGCACCTCTGTACCTCTTACCAGACTCTATGCAGTCTCCCCTTCTGTCCTTGGTTATCAGGGTTGTCTCCAGCTTGTCTTCAGTTGATTATTCAGGTGGTTTTTCTGTATTTTAATTGTAATTCCAGTTTTGTCCTGGGAGCGTGTCAGTGTAGCTTCCACTTGCTCCATCACCATTTTGGAATCCTCCTTATTGTATTTTATTGTGACTATATCACTTGGCTTGCTTTTCTCTTTGATAGCTTTCTGCCTTGAATTTGTTAGTATCAGATGACATTTTAAATATAAGAGTAGAGCATGAGTAGCCTCTAACATAGTGATACTCAGCACGGAGCTGTGGCATAATAGTTACTGATACATTAACTGGGTCCTTTTTTTTTTGAGTTCTTCAAAATGCAGAGAGCAGCATCATTTTACAATTTGGTAAAGATGAGTTTATACATCTGAAAATATTGCCATATTGAGGACAATCTGTTCCTTAAATCCCTAAGCAAGAAGCAGTCAGCACAGTGAGTTGATACCTGCTTACCACAAAGAAGGCAGGGCCTAAAATATCTATGTGCCCTCACCCCCTACCAGTGGTCGGTAAACTGTGGCTCCCGAGCCACATGCGGCTCTTTGGCCCCTTGAGTGTGGCTCTTCCACAAAATACCACATGCAGGTGCGCACGTACAGTGCGATTGAAACTTCGTGGCCCATGCGCAGAAGTGGGCATTTTGTGGAAGAGCCACATTCAAGGGGCCAAAGAGCCGCATGTGGCTCGCGAGCCACAGTTTGCCAACCACTGCCCTAGGTCATTAGGAACATTTGGACAGTAGGCAGAGTGTCTGTTTTTTCAGTGCAACAGGTTTCAGTAATGAAATGTAATGGTTTCACAGTGGATGTGGACATAACAAAAATTCCTTTTCTTTCTTTTTCTTTTTTTCCTTTATTGATTAATGTATTACATATGTGTCCTTAACCCCCCATTGCCCCCTCACCTCCCTGCTCATGCCCTCACCCCCCTAGTGTCTGTGTCCATTGGTTATGCTTATATGCATGCATACAAGTCCTTTGGTAGATCTCTCCTCCTTGCCCCCACCCTCCCCTGCCTTCCCTCTGAGGTTTGACAGTCTGATCGATGCAGCTCTGTCTCTGGATCTGTTTCTGTTCATCAGTTTATGTTGCTCATTATATTCCACAAATGAGTGAGATCATGTGATATTTATCTTTCTCTGACTGACTTATTTCGCTTAGCATTATGCTTTCCAGGTCTATCCATGATGTTGCAAATGGTAGGAGTTCCTTTTTACAGCAGCATAGTATTCCATTGTGTAGATGTACCACAGATTTATGCTGATGGGCACTTAGGCTATTTCCAAATCTTAGCCATTGTAAATTGTGCAGTTATGAACACGGGTGCATATATCCTTTCTGATTGGTGTTTCTAGTTTCTTGGAATATATTCCTAGAAGTGGAATCACTGGGTCAAATGGGAGTTCCATTTTTAGTTTTTTGAGGAAACTCCATACAGTTCTCCACAATGGCTGCAATAGTCTGCATCCCCACCAGCAGTGCATGAGTGTTCCTTTTTCTCCGCATCCTCACCAGCACTTGTCATTTGTTGATTTGTTGATGATAGCTATTCTGACAGGTGTGAGATGGTACCTCATTGTCGTTTTTATTTGCATCTCTCAGATGATTAGTGACTTTGAGCATGTTTTCATATGTCTCATGGTCTTCTGTATATCCTCTTTCGAAAAGTATCTACGTATTTAGGTCCCTTGCCCACTTTTTGATTGGATTGTTTATCTTCCTTTTGTTAAGTTGTATGAGTTCCCTGTAAATGTTAGAGATTAAATCAGCCGTGGGCAAACTACGGCCCGCGGGCCGGATCCGGCCCGTTTGAAATGACTAAAACTAAAAAAAAAAAAAGACCGTACCCTTTTATGTAATGATGTTTACTTTGAATTTATATTAGTTCACACAAACAATCCATCCATGCTTTTGTTCCGGCCCTCCGGTCCAGTTTAAGAATCCATTGTGGCCCTCGAGTCAAAAAGTTTGCCCACCCCTGGATTAAACCCTTATCGGAGATAACATTGGCAAATATGTTCTCCCATGCAGTGCGCTTTCTTCTTGTTTTGTTGATGGTTTCTTTTGCTGTGCAGAAGCTTTTTATTTTGATGTAGTCCCATTTGTTTATTTTCTCTTTAGTTTCCATTGCCCTAGGACCGTGGTCGGCAAACTGCGGCTCGCAAGCCACATGTGGCTCTTTGGCCCCTTGAGTGTGGCTCTTCCTAAGCCTTAGGAGTACCCTAATTAAGTTAATAACAATGTACCTACCTATATAATTTAAGTTTAAAAAATATGGCTCTCAAAAGAAACTTCAATCGTCGTACTGTTGGTATTTGGCTTTGTTGACTAATGAGTTTGCCGACCACTGCAGGCCTAGGAGCTGTATCGGTGAAGGATTCCTTCGGCATATGTCTGAGATGTTGCTGCCTGTGGATTCCTCTAAGATTTTTATGGTTTCCTGTCTTACGTTTAAGTCCTTTATCAATTTTGAGTTTATTTTTGTGTATGGTGTAAGTTGGTGGTCTAGTTTCTTCCTTCCTTCCTTCCTTCCTTCCTTCCTTCCTTCCTTCCTTCCTTCCTTTCTTTCTTTCTTTTCTTTTCTTTTTGCATGTATCTGTTCAATTTTTCCAACACCATTTATTGAAGAGAATATCTTGACTACATTGTATTCTCTTGCTTCCTTTGTCAAATATTAATTGACACAGTGGTTTGGGTTGATTTCTGGGTTCTCTATCCTATTCCATTGATCTATATGTCTGTTCTTGTGCCAGTACCAGGCAGTTTTGAGAACAGTGACTTTGTAATACAGCTTGATATCCGGTATTGAGATCCCTCCTACTTTGTTCTTTCTCTGGATTGCTGCAGCTATTCGGGGTCTTTTTTTAAATTCCAGATGAATTTTTGGAAAGTTCGTTCTAGGTCTGTGAAATATGCCATTGGTAATTTAATGAGGATTGCATTGAATCTATAGATTGCTTTGGGTAGTATGGACATTTTGATGATGTTGATGATGACCAATCCATGAATACGGTATTTTCTTCCATCTGTTTATGTCTTCCTCTATCTCTTTTTTCAGTGTCCTGTAGTTTTCTGAGTACAGGTCTTTTACCTCCTTAGTTAAGTTTATTCCTAGGTATCTTAATCTTTTTGGTGCGATGGTAAATGGGATTGTTTTTTTAATCTCTCTTTCTGTAAGTTCACTATTGGTGTACAAAAATGCCATAGATTTCCGGGTGTTAATTTTGTATCCTGCTACATTGCTGAATTCATTTATTAATGTGTGTAACATATATTGTTATTGTAATCCAAGCCACTTCTGATTTTATTGTTTAAATAGCATTTACTCAGTTATTTTCATACAGAAAAGAATAAAGAAGAAAAAACTGCCCATCATCCCACTCTTAGAGAACCCATCTCAGCATTTAAAAACAAAAGTAGTATTTTTCATGACTTAAAATTCAATCAGTATAGATAGGAACAAAATGAAGCAAATGCTTCCTTGGTTTTATTTGTTAGGTCATTTCAGATTCTACCTGAGGATAGCGCCAGATATATCCCTAAGAAGATACCAGATTTAAGAATAAAAGAACATATGTCAAGAAGAACCTAGAAAGTGGCCATGGTGATAACAGACAACATAATGCTCCTTATAAAATCACTCCTAGATATTAAGAGAAGGTGGCAGAATTTCAAAACATCAGAAAGTGAAGACCTGTTAGATGTCAGAATAGACAGGAAATCTTTGATGAGCATATTTGAAATTATCATAAAGATAGCAAAGAGCCTTGGCTAGTGTTGCTAAGTGGTTAGAGCGCTAGCCAGCACCCCAGAGGGTTTCGTGTTTGATTCCCAGTCAAGGGAATGTACCTGGATTGCAGGTTCGATCCCAAGCCCCAGTCAGGGCATGTACAAGCAGCAACCAATCACTGTGTCTCTCTCACATCAATGTTTCACTCTCTCCCCCTCCATCACTTCCTTCTACTCTCTCTAAAAAAAAATCAATGGAAAAAAATATCCTCAGGTGAGGTTAACAAACAAATAATGACCTTCTCTCGGTGGTGGATAACATATGAACAAGAAAGCAGTGATTTGCTTCCATCCATGCGTACGTGAAAAGTAAATCACAGCGATTACAGGGTCAGTTGGCCACATCAAAGTGAACTAAAAGCACAACTTGTATGTGATCAGTTTCGAGCAATTAAATAACACTTTTATTAAAAATGATAATAGCTTTGAGCAACCTCTAAAATATTCTTTTGGTAATGAGTTTTATGATAGATACTGGCCAGACTTTCATATTATGGCATATAGGTATTAAATCAAAACTAGGATCTATATTTTCCTTCCATCGAGTAGTAGATGATAATGTGATTGTGTGTTTCTTGACCACTCCTTTAAGGTAGATCATAATTCTTTTTCATCTCTGACATTATCTCTCCACAGAGTTTGAAACTCACACCACCTTCCAGAGCTCTGAAATCACCGTGGGATCACGACTTTTTTATTCATGATGGCGTCATAGACAACACAGCCCCAGACTTCATAGCATTCAAGTCACATTTTATTTTATCCTGGGGAAGTATTCTCTCTCTCTTGGAACACATCGAGAAGTTCCTCAGGGAATATGCAATACCGGAAGTCAAAATCAAAGGGAACAGTTTGGTAGACCTCCTTCCAGAGTTTGAGCTGAAGAATAAACTTACCAGAAATGACCTCCTCTCAGTGGTAGAGAACCCTCTTCCCATCCAAAAGATGTTAACTGTTCCTGGCCAGAGATACAAAGGGCAAGGTGGGAAGTTAAATGCTGCCAGCAAGATCCAAGCCACATGGAAATGCTACAAAGCAAGAAAATACTTCCACGTTTTCCGCCAGCAGAAGTGGGCGTCGGGTGTGATTGCCATCGCGTGGCTCTTACATTGCCATAAGACACGACTGATGAAGATCCTGAAGGAGTCACGTGAGAGACACCTGCAGAATTTCCGCATTCGAGCCAAGGTACACAAGGCTGCCAGCTGTTAAGGCAGACTCTTTTTCTAAACATTTCTTGCTTGAACGATTGCCATAAGTTGTCTCTTTATCTGTCCTTTCTCTCTCCAACGACCCTCCCCCTCCGCCTCCCTCACCTTCCACTCTCCTCCATGTGCGATGCACAAACCCTACGTTTGTTTGTACCATGCATCATATTTTAGTCCTCACCAGGAATCTGCAAGACCTGCTGCAATTTTTCTATAGGAAAAATGTCCCTTCACTTTGACTATGGTAGTTCTGTCAGGAAATCAATGGTGTAACTGCATTACCTTTTCTCCCTGTATATACCTTCTGGCACTTTAATTTGCTAGGGGAAAAAATCCTGTCTTGTCTACATTGCTGTCACCACTTTGTCAGAAAGTATTTAAGTTTGCAGACAGCCTTTTAATTAGTGCTCACAATTTCATTTATGTTTGCTTTCTCTTTTTTTTCATTCATATTCTGTTAATTAAGTGAGCTGCCTCTAATCTTCCCCTGCCAGTAGCATCATGTAGCCACCTAATTAAATTAATTGGGGAAGATGTTTTAAGTATGTAATTAAATCAATTAATATAATTTATGCCTGGCTTAACTGTACAGTGGAAACACAGCTGAAGTTTGACTAGATGAATCCACTACAGCTTCCTGTCACTGATCAATGCTCTTCTTGATTTTTAGCATCTGGCAGCCAACTGGAATCGCATCAGGACCTCCAGGAGGACTATTATCCATATCCCATCATTAGGTATAACACTTTTGCCTGCAAATCTATCAGCAACCTCTATTACCCACCACATTATGGCTCCTTGATTGAGTTCAAGGAAGGCCCCTTGTTTTATTCAAATTGGTCTCGGCAGGAAAATGTTCTCGACATGATGAGAGTAATAACACAGGGCCCTCGCTCGAAACGGCGTTTAATTTGGGGATTAAGCAAATAAAGTCATTATGTGGGGGCTGCTATTCAGTGGAGAGGTGATTTGCTGTAATTCGCTTTCATCTGTATGAAATGAACTAAAAAGTTGTATTTTTCCCCCTGAAATAACAGATAATGTTTCCTATCTTCTTTAATGATAGGAGAACACAGGCTTGTGTGTGTTGTTGCTGTTATGCCAATAAGCCGGGATATTGCTTGTACACTGTTTTTAATCAAATGTGCAGTCAAAATGATAAGCTACATTCTCTGAAATTATTTAGTTCTAATTACGAGCAGATGGGATGCTTTATTTGCACCTAGGGCGCCTGAGCAAAAGGAAATGCTGTGTGAACAAGAATAATTAAGAAGTTGAATAGTGTTTTTTGCGCTTAAATAATCTGCAGTTTCATGTTAATTAGCACTAATGTAATTATTTAATTACATTTATGAATTGGGGAACTTAAAAGCTGTTGTCTACAACACGGTGTAAAATAGGTATGCCAAAATGACATGAGAAATTTGCATTGGAAGTTCTTTTAAAACATGAACCGCTGTCAAAATGTTTGGGATTTGTTTGCTGGCTTGTTTGTTTTGTTTTGCTTTTTATCTACCTGGTGTGTTAAATTGTTTTGGTGAGGCCGAGCTGACTTGGTAGAGTTTTGACAAATAGTAAAATTCATGGAATCTTCATATTACATATTAGCTCTTTGTTGAGGCCTTTCAAGTAGAGCAATGCACTAAGTGATCTATTGTAATAGAACTCAGAATCACAATTTATTTATGCTCCTGGGTGAGTATATTTGTTTGTATACTTATGTGTAGTATAGAACCATACACTATGTATAATATATATATATATATATATATATATATATATATATATATAACATTAAAAGCAAAAAAATTATAATATAAATATAATTAAGATTTTATTTTAAATTAGTAAAATATTCATAATAATAAAATAATGCAAACGTTCCTAGATTCTCAAATACTTATATTCCTAAGTATTTGTAGAAAAGTTTTAAAAATTCTTGAGTTATACTGGGCCTTTTACTTTTGGTCTTTATGACTCATAGAAAAAATTAGGTTTTTTTTAGGATGTGAAGCAAGACAGATCTGAATTCTATTTTAACTTGGGCTTTTGTTTTGGTGGGACTACTTTTGCACACAAAATTAGCTCACACACAGAAATTGCACTTGTAATTGATTGCAACCAGAGAGGCTAATTGCAGACCCAATTAATTGACTCCAGTCCTTAGAATAAGGTGCAAGAGCCTTCTCTTCTTCAACAAATTATGGACCTGGCCTGATATTATGTGGGAAATTTTGCTCTGCATTCTCCATTTTTTCCCAAAACTAGAAATAGAAACAAGACCCCCCACTTTGCAATGTTGACAAGCACCAAGAAAGGTATTATAGACACTATTTCCACAAACTTCTTCTCTTCTATACTCCCACCTCTGACTCTTCAAAACCCCAATGCAAATTAGCCCTGCAGAGAAGCCCAATAATTTTACTGAAGAGGTAAAATTATGAAAAGAATGGTCAGTAATCTGAACTGGATAATAATAAAAAATTAATGAAAATATCTTAAATTTTCAAAAGGGCTTGCTGACTACAAATGAAGTAGAAAAATAACCTGTTCAGAAATTATTAGAAAGCATTATTCTAAATCTGATATTAAACCTAGTTTTCTTCTACATTACACAGACTCAGTTTAAATAAATGCATAATAAATCTGAAAATCTCCCCTATTGCCATAACTTTTGTTTGTTAACAACATAATAACCCATTTTAAAGAAAAATGGCCAGTCGTGTCTTTTCCTAGAGATACGAACAAGCGCAGATATTTTTCTCAGCTAAGCATTTAAAATGCCCCATTACACTGTTTCACACAAGAGTTATACTTGGGCTTTGATAAAATAGTATTTGTTTCTACAATCTGTACTTTAGGTTTTATAGATGGCTTGTGGAAATTAAATTAATTTTGAGTAACATTAAACTGCCATCTCATACCTATCCCACAGACATAATTCTCAAACTATACCTTTAAAAAAAAAAAAAGGATTATGGTGTGTCTTTTTCTTGTGGACCACTTCCCCTGGGAACACTTGACAAAGATTTCAGCCAGTCACAACATGGCTACTTTGTCCTGCACCAAGGACTTGCCTGTTTAATTCACAAAAATAGAAGTGGCTGAAAGTGAAGCATTTTTTTCTCTAAATACATGCCCCTCTCCCCCCTTCCCCACCTCCCATCTATTCAATACAGTCATTCTGTTTCGAGTTTAGGCAGCTTCAATAATAAAAATCTGTTGGTAGGAGTGTAAGGTCCAGGTAGGCATTTAATACAAGTTTCAGCCTTGTCCTCTTTCTCTCTTTCCATAGGAAATTTGCAATCAGTTCTGGTATAGAATTAGCCCTGGAAATTATGACATCATGCCACTAGCCAACTGGGGCTGTGCTGATTTGTTTGAGCCCTAAAAATGAACTTTTAGTAGCTGATGACTGCCTAATTTATTTCAGTTGTAGGCATTTATGCAGTTTTGCACACACAGGAATAATTGCACTTTCCAAACCAAAAGGATGGCCTTTCAGGAACCTTTTTTAATTATTATTGATTTCAGAGAGGAAGTGGAGGAAGAGAGAGAGAGAGAGAGAGAGAGAGAGAGCAATGATGAGAGAGACTCATTGATTGGCTGCCTCCTGCGTGCCCCTTACTGGGACTGAGCCTGAAACCCGGGCATATGTCCTGACTGGGAATCGAACTGTGACCTCCTGGTTCATGAGTTGACGCTCAACCACTGAGCACACCAGCCGGGCTTAGGAACATTTTGACCCCCAAATATGTATCATGTATTTTAAAATCTATGGCTTGATAATATGATCATAAAGACAATTACACATTGCGAAGTAACCTCTTTGAATGGAGGAGTGATGAAACACAATTGACGTATATTTTGGGTAATATTCCTAGATGTAACAGAGAGCTTAGCTATTTTTAACCAACAGGAGAGGTGGGATCCTGTTGATTAATTGTACAAAGAAACTAATCACTTTGTAATTTTATAAGATTATAAAAAGTCATTCTTTCTAGATTATATAGGCTGATCTCTTAATTAGATAGTTCATATTTTTATCATTTTTTATTAATGAAATATAATTATAGCAAAATAATCTACTATGGTTCATATCAGGAATAGAATACTAGGGCCTATTTTAAGCAAAATGCATCAGTCAAATAAGAAAGAACTGCAACAAAGAATTCTAATTCCTCTAGAAAAGCAGAGGTCCAAACAAAACCTGCGAGCTGATCTGCTTCCAGTTTCTTTGGCCACGTTATTTCCCCCACTTTTAATTTAACCCCTGTGCATCTTTATTGCAGTGCATCACTTGGTGCTACACTTAAACTCAGTGGCATTTTAAAATAAGATGACAGTAAATGAGATGAGCCAAGTATGGGGCTCAGATGCCGTGAGCAGGTATATGAGGCCGCTGCCCGCCAATTACAGCCCCAGTGTTGGGTTTCCTCCCCCACTTCTCTTCCTCCTTTAAAATAAAAACAAGGGATATACTGAGATGGGATTTTCTCTTTTCTGTATGTAATTTTTTTTTTCATTGCTAAATGATTTAACGGCTAAAAGCATTGGTATATCGTTCATCTCATTCCCCCCTCTCCGCTTTATTTCAGCAAATTATCCTTAGGGCTAACACAAAGAGTGGTCTCCAAGGTACTCCATTCTATAACATTACGGATCCTGCTATTGTGAAAAACAGCATTTTCTGCTGTTCTATGCCGTCACAAATACCTAAAAGATAGAAAACTTACTTGTGTGCACAACTGTCCGGACCCTGAACTGAGAAAGCCACAAATGCTCCTGAGAGGGTGGCTTCCTAACTCTACTCCCTTCCTCCAGAAGATAAGAATTTGCGCTCACCTTCATTTGTGAGCAGGGCCAGGGTAGAGGAACACAGCCAAGAGTGTTAGATCTGAAATCACATTTTTACTGCGCCTCCAAGCACATTGGCACCTTTCTACCTTCTCATTTTTAAGTTGACAAGTCAAAGACAAGATACACTCTGTTCCTTTCCACCTCGGGGCTTGGAAATCAGGACTTTCAATCAGATCTTTGCAGTCTTCAACATGTATTTTGGCAAGTAGTATGGAATCCATAGTTTAGCTGTGGGGTTGCCATATTAATTCCCGAGACAGATGTACTGCCAAGATCTCCCAGACAGCATTTCCCAGAAACATCTAGGTCTTTTGGGATCAGGAACAAAGTACACTTAACTTTCACGTTTATTTATAGCCCAAATTAAAATGAAAACATATTTGTATTCATCCATGTTGTATTCATCCAAGTAAGCCAACTCAACAGTCATCCGCTGATTAGATCAGCGTTGGCCCTGTGACCCTGTAATATTAAATTACCCAGTTGGTCCTGAGCTGTCTCATGTTGTACCACGAAATACAGAAACAGCATTAAACTGGTTGTCAATTGACTAGCCCCTGGGCTTTCTAGGAAATGAATTAACATTAAGATATGCTCGCCTGGCCCTAGCCAGTTTGGCTCCGCAGATAAAGCATCGGCCCATGGACTGAAGGGTCCCGGGTTCGATTCTGGTCAAGGGCACGTACCTCGGTTGCAGGCTCGATCCTCCGCCCTGATTGGGGAGCATGTAGAAGGCACCCAATCAATGTCTGTTTCTCTCTCTCTGTCTCTCCCCCTCCCTTCCACTCTTTCTAAAAATCAGTGGGAAAATATCCTCAGGTGAGGATTAACAACAAAAAGATATGCTCTCCCAGCCACAGTCGCTCAGTGGTTGGGC